TTTACTCTCTGGTAGAAAAGATCAATATTTCAAGAAGCATTAAATCTTGTACCTGGCCATAGCAACTAAGAATCAGCCCTGGTTCTGAACCATCATAAATGTACTGAAAGAAACATTAGGTAGGTTACTGATATCATCTTACAGAGATATAGCATGCCTCCCTCTTGCCCTCTTCTCTACTTTTGCATGAAACATTGTTACTCTAAGTACTCATGTCCTTTTTAAAAAAGTGAAATACCAGTTATCTTTTCTTCTCCGAAGGTAAAGCTATATCTCTTTTATTAATTAAAGCTTTGGAGAAAAATTTCAATAACCTACTATATGCCAAGCACTATTCCAATAGCTGTGGGTTCACAAACAAATCTCCTTTTTAAAAATTTAACTTTATTGACTGCCCTCTCCCACAAATGACTCTCCCTAGTAACCACTTCATATAAAGATATAGATAACTATGAGGTCCTATTTGCCTCCTGTTTTTGTTTGTTTGTTTTTTAAATAATTTATATGATATATAGCATAAAATTCATTTTATTTATTTTAATTATTTAAAGTGTGCAACTCAGTAGCCTGAAGTATAATCAGAATGTTGTGTAGTCATCACCTGTATCTAGCTCCAAAACACTTCACTAGGCCAGATGGAAAAGATGCACCCCTTAGCAAGTTAATTTCCAAACCCTCTCCCCCTAATCCAGTCTTTGACCACCACTAATCTGTTTCCTGTCACTATCTATGTATTTGCCTTTTCTGGATATTTCATATAAATGAAATATGAGTCAGTTAGCATGTGGCCTTCTGTGCCTGGCTTCTTTCACCCAAGATGATGTTTTCAAGGTGCATCCATGTTGCAGTATACTTTGTTCCTTTTAAATTCGATTTTGAGGCAGTATATTATTTTGTCATATAGTAAACAACTTCCAGATCTACAAAATTTGCTTTTGTGTTTCAGTGTAATTTAAACATATGATTCTATATTAAGATATTTGCTTTAAATTAGGTCAAGAAATAATTTAATTCCCACTTTATTTGGATCTTCAAAACTGTCTTAGATGAGAATACTAATTATCATATTCATATTATCTTTTGACTGAATAAAGTAACACTTGTTTGGAACTTGTAATATTAATTCATCATATTTATTGTACAAATCGCATTTGGTTATGTAGATTATTTGCAGGTAATACAAGAAACATTTCTATTTTCTCAGAAATTTTGTCATGGTTCAGTATTCGTGAGACTATTTTTACTTTCAATAAGCTACATTCAGTGCAATCAATGGTTGTTACTCCCATTTTGCATATGATATGGGGAAAGTTTTTTCTGATTTTATTACACAAAAATACTTTATTAAAATTTCGAAGTCTGCCTTCAGGATTCAGAACGTTCAGTGCCGAAGATTAGGTGTGGAGTGCATATGCAGCCTGTTGTTATGGATTAAGAAGTTTTGCCTGGTAATGAGTGGGCGGGTGGGTGCGTTTGGCCTACAGCTGCGGAGAGTTACGGGGGTGGTGCTGGGGGCGGAGAAATAAATATTTTATCACAAAAGTTAGAGTAATGAAGTCTCAACTATAAAAAAGGTTTCAATAGTAAAACGAAATCAGAAGTTAAACCTTATAATTTTGCCACTTCTGTTTATTAATGGTGTAATCTATCACATGCTTTTGCTATGTTAAGAGTAATAAACAGCGATGATGATTACAATCCAGTGGTACAGCAACAAACTATCCTGGCTTTTGGGGAAACCTCTTCCCTACTTTGGATGGGCAATCCTAGCTCAAATTATCGGTGTGAAACAGGAGGAAATGGTAGCGACAAGGGCCGGGACCGCATCAAAAGACCCATGAATGCATTCATGCTGTGGTCTCGAGACCAGAGGCGCAAGGTGGCTCTAGAAAATCCCAAAATGCAAAACTCAGAAATCAGCAAGCGTCTGGGAAACCAGTGGAAAATGCTTACAGAAACCGAAAAATGGCCGTTCTTCGAGGAGGCACTGAGGCTCCGTGACGAGCACAGAGAGAAATACCCGGACTACAAATATAGACCTCGTCGGAAGGTCAACATACCACCGAAAAGTGACATATCGCACCCCGCAGATTTCCTCTTCAATACTATGCAGCCGGATCCATGTGGAGGGGCGGTTGCACCCTATCCCATACAGCCGCATCTCTACTACGACCACACACTCACGAATGGAGGACCAGTTAAGCCGCTTGCAACCCATGAATAGAGTCAGCTCGGTGCTGCGACAGGAGCAGGGCCGCAGCTTCACAGGCCTGTGAGACAATCGCGTAATTGGGTACGCAGAGGTTCCCTTTTTATCATAATTTACAGTCTCGACCTTCTGTCGTTTACTTTCGATATCGATATCCTTGGCTCTCGGTAACAGGAGGATGAAAGCGCCTATTCATCTCAATTGAACTATTATTTTACCTGTTACTTAATTTAAAAATGAGTGCAAACATGTTTAACATAAAGAATTATGACATTCTGAATTCAACCTGTGTGTATGACTGTTTGAAAGTGCTAATGATAAGAAAGTATCTTAATACCACCGAAACTGAGTTCCAGGATTTGTTCTACTAATGGAACAATTTTTATACCTAATTTTACTTGTCCTAGAGATTGGCCACTAAATGTCTTTACGTGTATATTGATATTCTAATAATCGCCAGTATAGGTTAATAATATTTACTCTCTATTTTAAACACTATAACTCAGAAATATAATGATGTGAAATACACAAGTACTGTGCTATAGAAAAAGAAAATGCTGCATTTCAGTGGAAAACCTCTAGCTTCTGGCCTGTTCATTGGCCTCTCAGCTACTTTGTGAATTTTTGTAAATTGCAGATTATTTACTCACAGATAAGTAAATTCTGTCTTTCATAGTTCACATTACCTTTCCTCTCTGATGTGGAAAAACCAGTTTTACTGGCATTTGCAATTCAATTTGGTGACTCCTCACAAATCTCCATGCTTTGATGCCACATTGAACCTATCATAACAGCTATCTAGTAAAATAAAATCTTAATTTAACTTGTAATCATTTATTTTATATATATCTGTATGAGATGCATGCTTTTGCCTCTTTTTCTGAAAAATTACTTTTGACAATATCAACGCACTTCTTTCCATTGCTGCCTAACTTTTAAATTTATCAGAGGAAAAATACAGATAGAATGAACCATTTAGGTTGTGGAAATGAAGGGCTAGAATGCGAGAGAGCCAATCTGGTTACTCTGATGAGATGTCAATGAAAATTTAAACCAAAAGCATTACAAAATTTGTATATAGATAGGCTAACCTTGAAAACTGGCAATGTTTCAAGAAGCATTACTTTTAGAATAAAAATAAACCAATGGTAAAAATATATAACATATATCAAAATCATCTTTCCAATGCATATATTCCAAAATTTTTAAAGAACACATCAAATAATGAAATACTAAGGGAGTATATATTTTGAACTAAATGTCATCTTTTTTAAAGCAAATTCATGATAAAACATGAGTTAACTTTGCAGACTAGTTTATTCCAAAAACAACTTTGCTTAATCTGAGATTTGTGCCATATAAATGAGAAATATATATTGCAATAATCTTTTTAAAAACTACCTAGAGTGTACTTAAAATGATTTATATGTATTCTATATATTAGTGTTTTATATTTAATGCCTCCCTTTTTAAAATAAATGCTCTTTTTTATTGAAGTATAATTCACATACCATTAAATTCACTATTTTACAGTGTACAAATTCAGAGCTTTTAGTATATTCACAAGGTTGTGCAACCATCACCCCTATCTAACTTTAGAACATTTTCATCACCTCAAAATGAAATCTATCATCTGTTAGCACTCACTCCCCACTCTCTGACAATCCTTGATCTACTTTCTCTTTCTATGGATTTGCCTTTTCTGGACACTTAGATATCAGTAGGCTCATACTACATTTGACCTTTCATGTCTGGCTTCTTTCATTATGCATAATATTTTTGAGACTCATCTGTGTTGTAGCATGTATCAGTATTTTATTTCTTTTTATAACTGAATTATATCCCTTTGTATCATTCATTTATCCAATCAAATGGTGGTAGACATTTAGGTTGTTTTCACCATTTAGCTATTATGCATAATGTTGCTATAAACATTTGTGGACAGGTTTTTGTTTGATATCTGTTTTAAACTCTTTAAGGTGTATACCTAGGAGTGGAATTTGGGGATAATTCCATGTCTTTTTTATGAACTTCCAAATTGTTTCTCACAGTGGCTACACCTTCATTTTCCAACCAGGGATATATGAGTGTTCCAATATCCTGCTAACATTTGTTATTTTGCACCCCAACTCCCCCACCTTTTTTTTTTTTTTT